CACATTTGTCTGTGGCTGATCATAATGAGATTAGCGGAATGCCTACTCCTACTGAGTTGAACAAAGGTTCTGTTCAACTTGAACGTGAAGTAGAATTAAAGGCAGATGCGTTTGCAGAAGGTATGGATACTCGTGAGACCGTCAGTGTAAATGATCCGCGTGTAGTCCACCTATCGACAGATGTTAAAGCTGAACTGGAGCTAATAATAAAGGATAGCAGTGGTAGTAATCTTGCGGTTAGACAACTTTCTAAAGGCCGAACAACAACAGCTTCTGAAGCACCCCTAAGTTCATCAACTGGTGTCAGTCAGTGACGTCCATGAAGTCATGTGCCTTGTGCTGTGACTATGCTAGTATCGGTCCGTTTGAAAGGACGAAAGCCAGTTTAGTGATGATAAGCCAACTGTGTACAAAAGGGTAATTGTTAGACTGACTTGCACGAATAAAGGTATTTCTGGTTTCAAACTACTATTTGAATGTTATTATCTTTGGTGTGAATTACTCTATGCCTTCGCTTGGTTGGTCAGGTACGTCGTATGTTTGTTAGTCATCTATATTCCACGATACATTGTCATGGGCGTGTTACCATTCAGAGTTGAGGATATATATGGTAGATTGAGGTCAGCAAATGAACTCAACGACGATTTTCCAACTTAAGGGCGTCAACCTGAGAAGGGTTGTAGGCGTACTGCTGTTGTGGTGAGAGCAAGCTGCTAGCCAATTGGTAGACATTGATCTACGCTGATTGGTGGAAATTAATCTAGGCTGATTCAACAACCGATCACAGCTGACCTAGACGTGGACAAATATGATTCGCAGACAAGTGGCTCGCATTTCCGAGAAATATCGAAAACGAGAAAGCAGAAGACTGCGTTTGTTTGCAAACAACCAATCAGAAGACCGCCTTCTTTCTGCGGGCAGAGCCTTATTAATGTACGTAAAATACATATAAATACCTGTTGGTTTTCGAAATAAAACTGATCTGTTGCCTGGCCCTTGTCTTCTGTTGTTACACTGTAAGTCCTACAATTCTTCATGGGTAGTACGTCAAGGCAGAATCCACAACATTTGATGTATTGATTGTACATATATTTGTGTTTAGTAATTGAGTGGGTTCCACTTCATCTAATTGTTGATTTATTTATAGTTGTCGCATTGTGTGAGTAATCTTGTAATGTTATTGTAAGTACTTCTGAAGTTGTTTCTAGTCTTCTAAACTTGTGAACGAATCGAGTAGTGTTAGAGTCAGTGTATGCGATTCGATACACCGGGGAGGGGATTGTGCCAGAGTGATATGAAGCAACCAACACTTCGTGAACCAGATCAATGGTGGTACTGTCGACAGATGGCTAAGATCCCACACGCCGGGGAGAGCGTGCCGGTGTGCTGTGGTATGCTCGTTGTGTGTTGGGCTTTTTTGTCTTGCCTTTCCATTTTAGCCTAGTCCCGGTTGGCCCAGGTTCCCGCGTTGGCAGTTCAGTTTGAGGTTATCGGCGCTATGGAAAAAAGGGATGGACCCTTTTTTGCCGGGGAGTGTCAAGGAATATGAACATTGAACGTTGGTTCATTGACCTTGGTAGCCATTGGTGGGCAATTCGAAGACGCCTTCTCCTTCGTATTTTTATGTTATTTATTTAAACTCTGATTATCTGTCCACTTCACCTACCTTTAGTATTATGTAACTTTTAAGATTTGACCAAATTTATTTATTGAATTGTCTACACATACATATATTACTACCTTTGTTATTCTTATCGCCACCTGTATAAACCTTATTATCAATATTTTGTTATCATTATAATCATCGTTATTAACTACGTTCAAAACATTTATCACATTATTATTAATATCAGTAGAAAGTTTGAGCATTGTGGATTAGATCAAATAAAGTATAATTATATTTCAATAGTTTACACACAATGATAAGTTTTGTTATTGGTAATATTTCGAGCAAAATTACTGCCCGTGTTCACACCACTGTTGGAATTGATCCACAAAATCACCGTCATTGGTTAAAATTGCTATATATAAATCTATGTAAATTAGAGTAAAGCCTGAAGAAGATCTAATTGAAAACAATATTGTTCGCATATATGTCTTGTTCTAATATTAAAAATGGGAATATTTAAAGGTTTTGATTTGCCTCTTTCGTCTAAGTGGAACAAATACACTGTACGAGTTTTGGGTACAAGAACTTTCATTAGTATACGTCGTACTTAGCGTGAACGTTAACACTCTGTCATCTCCTTCCTAAATATTAAATTGAGACCGTCTCGGATCATCGTGTTTCTTTCAATGTGAAAAATAAATCCCCTGATTATTTCATGTATAAAATATTAACACGTTACTACTTCTTTACGAAGTCATCCATAGACGCTTTTTCAGTTGAATTGCCTCACATAATTTAACATTTCAATGTGGGAAAAGTGTACACACTCAGTATGTTGTAACCTCCTGGTGGTAGGCACTTCTTAAAAGCAAGGAATCAATCATACTTCAGTATTTTACTTAACTTCAGGTGAACATAGAGAAAACAGAGGTGATGAAGATTCCTGGGCAAGATCAACATCAACAGACAACAATCAGCCAGCATAAATGGGAGGAACCTGAAAGATACAATCTCCTTTACCTACCTACCTGGGAAGCATCGTTTCAACTACAGGCGGAACTGACGAGGATATCAAAGCAAGAATCGGAAAAGCAAGACAAGCTTTCATCACTCTCAAGTCTGTGTGGAGGTCAACAGTACTCAGCATCAAAAACAAGATCCAGATTTGCAACTCCAATGTCAAGTCAGTGCTACTATACGGATCAGAGACTTGGCCAGCGCGTCATAAAGAGTATCTCAAACAAACTACAAACCTTCATTAACAGCTGTCTTCGCTCAACACTCCGCTCAAGATCAGATGGCCGGTTAGAAAAGATCAGCAACAGGGAGGGATCTCTGGCAATGAGCGAACCAACCCAGCAGGAACCGACTGTTCAACAACTAGGCAGGAAGAAATGGAGATGGATTGGCCATACTCTGAGGAAACGATCAAGCGACATCACTAGACAAGCCATCGTTCGAGTGGAACCCGAAAGGGAAGCGGCGAGTTGGTCTTCAGTGCGAGGGTGACTTGGAGGGGGTCATGTGAAGAGGAGATGAAAGCATGTGGGCAGACGTGGAGCCAGGTGGAAACTTTAGCAGAGAACTGAACGCAATGGAGACGCACGGCTGAAGCCCTATGTTCCTCTAGGAACTAAAGGAAACAATAATAATAATATAATTGTGCTGTAACAGCAGAAGACAAGAGGCTCGGTAACGGAATATTTATTTGGAGAATTCGGTATCTCTCTGTATAGTAGTAAAATTATGCACACGTTATCTGATAAATCGTCATCTGCGCAGATCTCCTCCTGTATTGTGTTATTTCTACGCTTCGTATTGTGTTTCTTCTGTCTTCTTTTTCGTGTCCCGCATGTTTTGCCGCAGCAATACTGATAGTAAAACAGCACGAAATAGTGTATTATCCTTTCTGACAAATCGTGTGATTTATCTTGTCATGGTGTTACTATGTTAATCTGTCATTTCTCACGCATATTGTGAATTTAGTATGTGTTTGTGCGTGTGTATGTGATCAATTCATCATCTTTTGTTTCACCTTGGTCTCTGTTGGATCGCCAACCAATGAGAATAGCCATTTCCAGCCAATAAGAACAATCCATTCTCACGGCTATGAACCGACTTTATTATGGTAAAGAAGAAAATGTATAAATTTGATGTTTTGTTTCCTAATAAATGCACAATAATACAATATCTTACAGTCACAGACCACCAGCCTTTGTCTTTTGATATTTGCGTGGTTCAGTTGGCTTTATTGTAGGCCAAGGTAAACATAGAGGTTGAACATACTTCTTCTGCATACAAAGAGTTGGCCTTCTGGTATTAACTGCAACCGCTTCAGCTACTGATAGAAAACGTAGTCGAACTCCTCTAGATAAATTACTAGGAACGCGGTAAATAACTGAGAACGCCTGGTCAAGTTTTATCTGGTGTCCAGTATCTACCAAGTGGGCTAAGACTGCACTATTTACACATTTGGTTACTCCTTTACTCAACCATACAGGTACATGTTCACGCGCGCTCATGGATAAAGCCCTCTGAGCAGTGCTTTTCTAACTTGTTATCGTATTTACAAAATCCAGTTCATTCCACTTGATTATATTCATTATTATTATTTTTTAACAATCATTCACCAATAGTGCTTGTAATGTTACACCATATCAACGTTATTATTTTACAATCATTCTTATTGTCGTTATTTTCAACCTTGAACTTATGTCTACACTGCCCCATTCGTTGGTTTATTACTTACATATTGTCTCACACACCCTGATTACATTCACTCTCGAAACCTGCAATTTTCTGTTGACTATATTTATATATATAAACACACATCATTAAATTAAATTACTTCATCTGATTTTGTCCCATGTTCTCATTGACCATGTATATTAAAAAACTAACTGACTATTGTTTCATCTCATCCGACTTATACTTGTTCCACAACACACTTTCTGATATGATTCTAATTTGCCTTTACTGACTGGCTGGCTATTGTATGCTTAAATTAATGGATTTATAATTGTAGAGCCTGATGAAGAAGAATTTATTGAAACCACAATTGTTCGCTCTAAATATTTTGTTCTGAATAAATTATTGGAATATTCACTTTCCTATCATTATCGCAATTTTAATTTATTATATTTATGCTAACACCGTGCGTCGGTGGCACATTGGTTAGGATGCTCGCCGACCATGCACATAGTCCGGGGTTCGATTCCCGGCCGAGACGAAATGTCAACAGTCCAATCAATCAAAAAGGGGAAAGTCCAACAACCACATTGACTTATACAATCCACACACCTTTCACAGACTAGATCAATGTGAAGGTGATCACATGAATGCAGTAGTAGTTACCTAGAATGTAATTAATTCATAACACAAATATAAAACTTTATGGGATAAAGGTTTATTTAAGTTCAAAAGTAGTATAATATATCGGTAGTGATAATAATAATAATAATAATAAACATATCAAAACTAAGTTTTTTAAACAACCGGGATGTGTTTTTTGTCATGAAATGCTCCGTTTGTTTGTATTTTATTGAAGGAACTATGTATAAATGCTTCTTGAAAGATTGAAAATGGTCATCAGAGCTAAAAATGATCTTCAAGTCAGCTAAAATATAACCAAATTATACTAATTATACACAAGGGAGGATAAGAGTTGCACTTGAAAGGGGGTTGTGTAATAAATAGGGTTGTATAACTCTACTTAGAGTGGATTACGCATCTCTACAACATTACAGTGTGTGTTTAGACAAGTATTTCTTCGCCTAAAAAAAAGACAAGAGAAAAGAACAAGAAAAAGAAAAGGAATGGTTGAATTTTTCAAAATATGATTATTATACAAGATAATCAAAATTTTGATTGGACACCACCAGGCAGTGTGAACTAGTATCATGCACGTCTAGTCCCTGGTGTTTTTGCGGCAGACTGAATATTCTGAATTTCTATCATGTTGACCACTTCACCTATTTGGGAAGTTGTATCAGCACCAACGGACTGATTGGTGACGAAATCTCAGCACGGATCCAAAAAGCTCGGGCTGCTTTCGCTAACTTACACCATCTCTGGGCGTAGGCGTGACATCCGACTATCAATCAAGGGACGTGTGTACTGCTCAGCAGTTCGCTCCGTCCTTCTCTATGGCTCTGAAACATGGCCAATACGAGTTGAAGACATGAAAAGGTTGACTGTTTTTGATCATAGATGTCTACGATCTCTTTCTCACGTTAGGTGGCATAAGGTATAAGGTAAGTAATGTTGACGTTAGGCGTAGAGTGTTGGTTGGGCAAAGAGGGAAAATCAATCGAAGAGGCTATAAAGTCACATAGATTGAGATGGCTAGGTGACGTGCTGCGCATGCCTAACCATCGCCTCCCCCGACGGACGGGCATTACTAGCTGATATAGGTGTTGCGGGTTGGAAAAGAGTAAGTGGTGGCCAAACAAAAACATGGCCTCATCAATCCATGAAATCCTTGACAGTTAAACTGAGTCAGGTAGGGAGGGAGATGCAGACTTCCTGATTGGTTGGGGCCCGCCCTCGGGACTCTAAGAATCAATGGCTGGAGACAGACAATAGGTGACATGGCTCAAAATCGTTGTCAATGGCTTACGCAGATGTATTCAGTCTCTTGGGTAATCTTTCATATTCCTTTCTACCATTACTCATTCTGTTTCACTCTTATACTTGTCAAAACTCTATTGATTCTCTTCACTCATCTTCTCCTTGTCTACCTTTGTGTGCTATTTGGAACGTGGCAACTCGAACTGCTGCATTTCGGTGCCAAGTTCTATGTTGAATCCAGACAGACAGACAGAGACAGAATATTCTATCAGTCAATCAGTCAAGTTTGCAATCTGGCGACTATGCCACTCACTAGATGGCTCACCGTCACCGCGTCACGATGCACTGCACTGTGAATTGTTGATATTAGATGATTGAAGGCAATCAGTAGGAAGTCCTACCTGACTTAGCCTCTCGGGCTAGTTGGCACTCTCACCAGTCAGTCAGTCAGCAAGGCGTATATGCAACCTTGAAGGAATTCATATCCTTTCTGAGACTGGAACCCGTGTCACCCAGTGCAACAGTTAGAGACGTTACCACTAACTAAAGAATTCAATCTGCAGTAAACAAAGGACTCAACGCATGACACTAGTTAGTGTCGAATCAAAATATCTGATACAATCTTATAGGAGGTTTATCGTGAGCCCCGAAGAGCTCAGTTGTGAAGTCGTCTCTGACTGAAGAGCTGGGTGACACGGGTTTCAGTCTCAGAAGGGATATACTGGTGAGTGACAACAGGCACGAAACCTAGGTCAGGCAAGGCTTCTTGCCAATTGCCTCCAACCATCTAACCAACGGAACGCAATTGTTTTTTACAGCATAAATTCTAAATGGTTTTATATCATTAATCCATGAAGTCTTCGACAGTTCATTTAAGCGAGCCACGTAGGGAGATGTAGACTGCTTGATTGGGGTCCTCAGGATGCTGGAAACCGTTGAGATATTGGCTCAAAATGGATCTCAATAATGGCGCAGATGCACCAAATCTCTGTGATCTATAATACCTATTTTAAACCCTATTGTTTTTCCATGTTAATATTCTTTCCCCCTCACATTTCTGACTGACTGACTGGTTTCAACATAGAACTTTGCACACATGTCCAGCAGTTCCAGTCGCCACACTCCATGTAACACACAAAGCAAGAGAAGAACGTGAAAAGAAATGCAAAACAGAGACAGTAAACAATGATATGAGGCAAAAAGAATAGTAATATCGAAGAACAATAAAGTTTTATTGGGTATAACAAATCACAAAGAGTGAATCATTCTGCGCCAGTCATTGAGAACGAAGCTTTCGAGCCACAGCACCAATTGTCTCCAACCTTCATCGGTTTCTACCGTCCCGAGGACCCAAACCAGGAAGCAAGTCTACACCTTCCTACGTGGCTCAAACTAACTGTTGTGGATTTCATTGACTGATGAAGCCATGTTTTGGTTTGACCAGCACTAGCTCTCCCTTTTCCAACCTGACCCTATGTCAGCTGACATTGCCCGTCAGTCGAGGAAGGCGATCGATGGCTAGGCATGCGTAACACATGTCCTAACCATCTCAATCGATGCACGCTTCACAACCTCGTCGATTGACTTCTCCTCTTTATCTAGCACTCGACCGATGCCTAACCTCAATATTGCTCATCCTATTATACCACTTCACACGGGAGATAGAACGCAGGCACCTATGATCAAAGACAGCTAATCTTTTCATGTCTTCCACTCTCAATGGCCAGGTCTCACAGCCATAAAGGAGGACGGAGTGGACTGATGAGCAGTACACACGCCCTTTGGTCGACAGCCAGCCGGATATCACGTCTACACCAGAGACGGCGTAAACTGGCATATGCGAAACTAGCCCTCTGTATTCGTACTGAGATTTCGTCAGAGATCAACCCACTAGCGTTGGCTGATGCGACTTCCCAAATAAGTGAAGCGGTCAACGTGCTCTACCACTTCACTTCCTATTTCTAAACTAGGAGTCAGTATAGTCCAGTCCTGTAACATCATCTTACATTTAGCGGGAGCGAATCGCATGCCAAACATTCGAAGATTGCAGCTCAAGGTGTTCAGAAGACTCTGCATTTTGTCAGCGTCCTCGCCTAGAAGGACTATATCGTCTTTATATTCTAAGTCAACGAGATTATTCCCTGGTAGCAAGTCAATCCCTGAGTCGCTGAAGTGAGTTAGGGTTAAGTCCATTAGTACATTTATGATGAAATTGAATAGAAATGGGGATAATGGGCATCCCTGACGGACACCACCAGTCGTCACCACTTCAGAGGACAACTCGCCGTAAGCTCTTACCTGGCTGCATGAGTTCGAGTAGAGTGCCTTGATCAGTACGATATATTTCCTCGGAATTCCTTTCGCAGCCAAGTATCGCCAGAGAACCTCTCGGTAGAGAAATACAACGATTGTTGGACACCGGTAAGAATACCTATATTCCCTTCCAGAATCTGTCGAAGGGTGAAGATATGATCAATACACCCTCTTCCTGGTCTAAAGCCTGCCTGGTTTTCTCGTGTTTGTGCCTCTCGAGCACCACTTAGTCTACGCAGTATTATTGAGCCTAGGACTTTAGATACTATATTAGTCAAGCTAATCCCTCTGTGATTATCACAGGAAGACTTGTCTCCCTTCTTGTATATCGGGATGATCAGTGACTTACACTAACCCGACAGAACTTCCTCTGATTCCCAGACGCTGCCTAGTACCTCAGTTAATGCAGACAGTAAACTGTCTCCACCGTATTTAAATACCTCTGGAGTCATTCCATCAGGTCCTGCTGCTTTGCCTTGTTTCAGACTAGTGACAGCTTTAGTAACCTCAGTTAGGGTGGACGGAGGACCTGTGTTTATATCCCATTCAGGGAGGTGTTGTTGGATGTTCGGCAGGTTGAGCGCTGCACTTCTATACAGTCAGTAAGTCAGTGAGTAGTTAGTGGATAATTAGCATCAGATGAATTCCCAGTTGTATTCTATAGTGAACTCCTTCTCAAACATACTTAGTTACCTAAATTATTAACATTGGCTTACGTTTTTGTACTTTACTCTATTCCTTCTTTTGTGTATCCACTGGTTCCGACTATATTAGCACTATGAGTAGTACAAAATTGTCCTGTCATTAACCATCATGTAATTATTAGTTTTTGTGGTTGTTATTTTTTTCTTTTTTTTCGGCAATATTAACTGACAATCATTGGTTGTGAACGCCACTATGACCACCTTAAAAAATTCTGTATTATGCAGGATTACTCACACTACCACTACAAACACTGCATTAGACCTGACAATAGAAAACAAAACAACAACCCTGAAATGTTATTTTATGTTTGTTTAGTGTTGTTTCAACCAAATTAACTGATCTTCTTGGCGATAAATATTCCTAAATATCATTTCATAACTTCTTGTATGACTATAGCTTCACTGTCACCATGCATAATCATATCATAGCCTCCACTACCCAATACTGAGTTATTATTATATGATGTTTATTTTCCTTTCTACTTCTTGGTACTTTTTCGCATTTATAATTTTTTTGTGTTTATCCTGTTTTTTTTGCTGTTGGTGTCTTTAGATTTGTTTTGTTTGTTTAATACTCCTTTTAAATGTTTTTAAAATTAGATGCAAATATTGTAGATATGTGCTGAAAATTCCACGCTGTACCACTAGTACTGTTTCTGGAATAAAACAAATTATTATTATTATTAAGTGTGTTAGCTTGTAGGGATTTGACTGACGTCAAATGTGAGTAACTACCGAAACCCGCCAGGGGAATACTGGAGTTATGGATTAAAATTTCGTGAATTGGCAGAAGTTAGAATTCATGGGCCATTGGATCGGGTCCGAGTGGCTTAATGGTATACGAACTCGCCTTGTAACCAGAAGGTCCTGGGTTCGAATCCCGGCGGGTGCGTACTGATGAAGAGTCCCAAAACTACGACGAAACGGCTCTCCAGTACTCCCAGGTTTTCCAATGGTTCTCTAACCAATGTCAGCTCATGATGAAATCCTGTAACCAATCAACCAAATCCCTACAAACCAATACTTGAATTAGACACAATTAATTCAAAATCTTCAATACACTTTCGTTATGAAAATTACAGACAAACAAACAAGAGAATTACTATACTCACCTGTTTCACATTACCATCAGCAGCAAGTTTCATTAGATCGATAACCGTGTAGTCCTCCTTCTCCTCATCCTTCTG